TTAACTATAAGAAATGCGTTTTTCTAAGGTACATAAACTTTTGGGATTGACTGTATAGCCAATACATCCTTAAGCAAACTTGGGCAATATTCTGTTAAGTACTACCAAAATTATTTTTCACTATATCTACGCTCGCTTTGTATATTTATATTATGTATACGTATATTGCACAGAATAACATGTTACACACATAGCGCATGGTGTACACGCGATTCCGTCGCGATCCAAAAAGAGAGCACACTTATATAAACAGATCGATAAGCAGGTAAAGATGATGTACTTGCGTTTATCGAGCGTCTTTCTTCAGAGACGCGGAACTTAGTATCGTATCGTTCATAAGTCTTAAGACACTTCAGAATCTGATAAATAGTAATCATCAAAGACTACCTTAATTGAAAGATCGTGTTGGGTTGTCCGCAAAGTTCATGTCGATTCTTATAGAAAGTTCAAAGGCAATGCATTTAAATTTTGATATATGTGTATTGATTTACATACGCGGCATTTTCTAAGATCTGTCGGTGCATTTCTAACGTTTTTTGCTCTATTTTATAGATAACCGGGTAAGAATAGTGTGAAATATAGATACATGCCATTCGATTCTACATATTTATTTCTTAGAAAATCAAGACAAAATTTGTTTTGATGTTTAGTTTAAGGTACATCGCAGAGCGCTGTTGTTTCTTTGCTACTTGTGTAGCATTTTTGCTTTTCCGGTAATTAAAAGCATCAAATGCCGATACTTCGCTTTATTTCCTTTCACATTCAATATGAAGCTAACGAAGTTAATGTACCCTAAACGAACCTTTTTCTAATCTTATCATCCTGATACATTCAGAACTGTTCTATTGCCACGTACTAAAAATCGACACGTACTTTCCGGATAACCGAATATATAAAATCATGTAGATATAATCATATATTATACACATACTGTGTAATAAATCATAAATAGCTTTGATGAAATTGTACTTCAAATAAAAATTCTTCAGAAAGAAACTATTTTTCTTTATTATTCATTAAAGTATCACACTTGTTCTTCCATATTATTTTTCAAATCAAATAAAAATTCTTCAGAAAGAAACTATTTTTCTTTATTATTCATTAAAGTATCACACTTGTTCTTCCATATTATTTTTCAATGTTTTATAATATGATCCAAGACTTATGAAATGGAATGTATATTGCAATTAATGTTGAAATTGTTAGTAAATGATCCAATTTATGCACACGTAGCAATTTTTAATCATTGGCTTATTTTCTATTATTTTATATATAATCGTAAGCCAGTGAGTAGAAATTGTGACATTTATCATAGTGACGGGAGGAAAATTAATCGACTTCGTTGCTGAGCAATTTTACAAACTCAAGGAATATGCTTTTTCAAATCGTCGGCAGTTACCCATACGGGATTCATACAACTTTCAAATTCCCTTCCTACTGGATGCACCCGGAAAAACTTTAGACAGAAAAATGGCGGACGAGGCTTTTTACGTCCTACCGTTTGGCGATCTACCGCGAGACGGTGAAGCGGACGGCGATGGCTCTGGACTGCAGCCATTGCTGCTACCGCGACGACTTCCGGTACCGCCTGCCTTCAGGCGTACCATAGTGTCCAGATGACGGAATCTGAAAATATATTATTTCCTTTTCGATTCAGCAACGTATCCGAGATTGAACCTCTTCCGGTAAAAAGACGATTCTATAGTTCGTCATTGAGTTTGATTAAATCGTACCCGAAGGGGTTAAGGTAGTTGCCCCACTATACTATTAGTGATAGTAAGGATTCGCTCTTCAAATTCGAAGCTTGTTTCAAAATTTCAAAATTTATTCATCAATAATTATTTTCAAAAAATGACTCTGATTAAATTAGATGAAAGATTCAAGTACCTGAGAGAAAGTTCACTGGTATCTGCAGCGTCCTTCGCTTGCATCAAATACGCCAATGGCCACGATATCCACGAGCGCCTAATACCAAAAGCATACAAATGAGAAAATGTCTGATATTTATTAATATTTATTGATTCTTACGTCGCGACTTGGGGATTGTAACCAATGCCACCGATCGTCGCCTGAGTGTCCAGCTTCGCTCCAGTCCTGTTCGGAGTTTTGGTAAATCCAGGCTGAATTGCAGGATCAGACACCATGCGAACGAAGAAGGACCTTCTCTGTTCCAGAGTGGCTTTCCTTTTTTTCTCGCGAATATCTGCCAGTTCATCCATAACGTCCTATGATAAAATTAAAAAATAAGCAATATTATTTATATTTAGAATAATCATAAAAATACATCAATTTCGTGTATTTCTTATTTTTTCCATCCCCAAATTACTGCGGTCTAACAATAAAAGATAGAAGAGTATTTACCTTAGACTCGAGTAATTCAGCTAAGTAATCCGTGATAATGCTCCAAGCTATGTCTGGCATAAAAGTAGAATATGGAGGAAGAGAGATCGAAATTATAAAAGAAAAGAAATGAAGATATCACTCACCGACGTCAGAAGCAGTGGCATTCGGTGCGGCAAGCGCGAAACGAATCGTGAACCGTTGATTCACTCTCGCCGGTACCATGTGCAGTTTCCCGGAGTCGTTGATGGTACTCAGCAGCTTTTGGTTCAGTTTGTCGGAGCCTTTCGCGCGGAAACACACCAGGCCCAGCTGAAACAATTTAACACTATAATGAAATTTCGAACTTCACCTATGCCAGTGTATACGCCGTTCATTCATTCACCCACCACAACTTCGTTACAAACTTCGAATCTCGCGTCCTTCCTAACTAGCATCTCGAATCTTTTTGCTAGTTGGATATGATTCCGAATGTAGGCCTGCAAACCGGATATACCGTAGCTCCTCATCACGAACCAGAGCTTCAAGGAGCGAAAGCGACGGCTCAGTGGTATGCTCCAATGCCTGCGTGGTTACCAATGAATAATATTTTCCTTATAAGAACAAACAACGGTTGATGGAATCGATAGTACCTGTAATCGATGGCTGTGTCCGCGTGAGTGTGCTGGAGATAAAGAGGATCGACGACGAGCGCGCTGGTCAACTTAAATCTGTCCCGAACCCAAAGGCAGGAACAGTCGAAGTTCGTCAATAGAAATTTGTTCGTATTGGTGTTAAAGGAATCCGCGTACTCGATCCCAGCCATCAGGTACTTCAACTCTGGACAGATGAACGAGTTCCCTGCGTACGCCGCGTCGACGTGCAGCCAAACCTATCATCATTTATTTAATTTCATTCTGTATCGAATGATTATTATTAAAGATCGCTTTTTCTTACGCCTGGATATTTTCTGCAAACTGGACCAATTTCCTTGAGATTATCGAAGGAACAGCAGGCGGTGGTGCCTAAAGTGGTGGAGACGAAGAACGGGATGTACCCTTCGGCCACGTCGGCTTCGATTGCCTGATATAGAAAGTTTCAATAAGGATAAGAATTCCTTAAATAAAAAATTAGAGAACATTACTTGACGCAGGGTCTCGCCGCGTAAGACACTTTTATCATCGGGCTCCAAGATTCTGAGTTTCACGAAGCAAATCATCGCATCCTTTTCGACACAGCTGTGACTCTCGCGACTGCAATAAGCCATCAATTTTCCTAAAAGAGCGGTTTCGTCTAAATGTGCGTGAGCGGACGACTCCTTCAACCTGGCGATTGCCTGCGCCCTGGCCGCGAGCATGCAGACCAAAATGCACTCCGAAGCCGAGCCCTGAAATTGATTTCGACGCGATGCATCATGCGAGAAATGTTTGATTTTCATTTGAAAATATCGAGTCGTTACTTGTATTACTCCTCCGCCTTTGCTGGCCGAATTAAAGTAAAGGAAGTCTGTCGGCAGACCGATGGCTTTGCCTGGAATTGATCGTGTCTTTATGATTCTCTTTAACTTTTAATATAAATTCAAATCGATATTTATTAGAATAATATTGAATTACCGAACCACTCGCAGACTATCGTCTCGAGCTCCGTGCAGGCCGGGCTGGCCGCCTAAAACAAATAAGATGATGTCTTGATACAGGGATGATCGAACAAACACTGGCCACGTTCGATCAACTCCGACCCTAATTTTTATCAGAAAATTGGCCGAACTCGATATACGATTTGGACATTCTTTACACCTGATATCTATAATGATTGTTGGCGGAGAGCCCTCACCCATGAAAATCCGATGCAGCCTATCGCGTCGGACAACATATCGCCGAGGATGGATGGGAAGGAATTTCCGGCTGGGAAGTACGCATGAAAACGTGGATGCTGCCAATGAGTGATCTATAAAACAGTTTTTTGTTTCTTTCGTCCCCAATCCTTCGCTCCTTTTTTAAATTATCCACTTACTCCGGGCATGATCTTTGTTTCGACATCCCTCATAATATCCTCCCATACTTCAGGCTGATGGGGCGCTTCCGAGGGCAAAAGGGGTCTCAAATATCCGGGGCCGACGTCCGGCGTCACTCTCCGATTCTGAATATTGCTCATAAATTCGCAAATGTACTCGACCATTTCCTTACCGCGCACGCGAAACTCTTGGATATCCATGGTGATTAAAAATCCAATCCCACGATCACTAATCTTTTTTTTTAATCACTACTTTTTCACCAAACAAGCAAGACAAATAAATTGCAAATCTGGATATCGTTCTCACAGCGACACCATCGTTTAAAAAATTCGGTCCCCCTGAGTAAAATGAATTTTAAAAGTGGATTCTCGCGTCACTTGTTATCCACAACTTTGAAAACTTGAAATTTCCCACGCGGAAGGGTCGTTCTACCTGTTGCTAGTCACGGTGGAAACGAAATGGTGTACGGTGGATGAGCCGCAACAGAACAATCCCGAGTCTAGCTCGCCACCGCGGATATATCGAGGATCCAGGATTCCTCCGGGGCTTTCTAACGCGCAATCGCGTCCTTCTCGACGGGATCTTCTTCCACGATCTTCGAAAAGGCGAAGGGAGGGTACTGGACGGATCCGGGAGAGACGATTGAGATAGACACTGCTATTCAAGCGGTAGGCTCATCTTAGTCATTCCCTAACAATTTTCACTACTACTAAAAATTAATAAGCAATTTTTAACTTTTCTATCGAATAGAATTATAGAATGATAAAGATTGATGCAACAGTTAATCAGATTTGCTGTCATACTTATTGATTATAACTACTTTTACCAGGGGCACGCAGTTTTCTGTTAAAATATTAATATCCAACGAATGGGAACGCATTTTTTAATTATTCGTCAAATTCGTAGGAGGTCAGAGGGTGAAGAAGGGGCGAAACTCCGCTGTAAGTGGGAATCTCATTCCGCAGGCTGATCGACTCGGAAATAAGTATTCATACAATGAACGACCGCGAGCTGGAACGGAGTTGTTCTCCAAGCCGAGAGGGAAACTTGTGAAAACGGGTTCTCCCGTTTCGTTCATTCGCGGCGAGATCGTCGAGCGTCTTGGAAGGATTGGCCACTCGAACAAATTGGAAGTCGAGCTTCTAGGATCGCGCGGCGGTTTATTACGGTCGGGAAAGAGCGCGTAGGCATCATTAAGAAGGTGTCAGACACAGAACGTCCCTCTTTCTTTAACGGCGCGGTACACACAATCCTTGACTTTTCCAAGCTGAGTCGCGCTTTTTTGCAAAATCCATAAAAGCGTTAACGATCTTCAAGAAATTAGATTCTTTAAACACTGAATACACCAGAACACACCAGTTTTTACAGTACTATTAATATGTCTAACGTTCACCGATGTTATCATCCAACTTGTTTACCCTTCCCTGGAAAGATCTGAAGGAATAAGAAATTGTGATTGATCAGTGTTAGCGTTCACTACTTGTCTGTGACCACTGACGTAGCGTTTGATTCTAATATAGGACGAATAATGATTTCTGACGTCGCGAATGCGGAACTAGGGACTAGCTTCGAGGAACTGTAGACAGCTAAATGTTTAATCGAAATCGATCATGCGAGGTGTCACTGGCTGCCGAATGAATTCCTCCGTTGAATATTTCGTGTACACACGTGAGTGGACGAAGGATAAAGAAGGGACCGTCGGTTACGAAACGATCCGGCGAGCCTAAATATAGAAGCGTTCGTTTCGCTTTCGTAATAGATAAAACGACGCCCTTTAGGGATAAAAACGTTCATAATGCTGGAATGCAGGGGCGAGAGACTAGTAGGGGTGCTTAATAATGCAATATGGCGTCGAGGCGTCGCGGCGCTATGCCGGCTATGCCGCATACCACCACCATATACGCCTACGCTTCGACCCCCTTATACCCTTCGTGGCTGCCCCCGAAGCACGAGGCGAGTTCGAATAGCGGTAGGGATGTACCGTGCAATCGAATGCTGATTGGAAAATATTGATGGTCCTCTCCATACGGGATCCCGTCGTCGTCGATGCTTCTTTTCCCAGCCTCGCCTCTCTCGAATTCCGGAAATTATATCGGGCACGAACTTTCGAGGGCGTCCCACTTATTCTCCCGAGGGTTCGATATTATTATTATTATTATTATTACTTCATTAACGAGCGGAAGCCCTTTAGAATGTAAAAAGGAAAACAAAAAACAAATGTAAAAAACTTAAGATTCTAACAATAGATGACGTGAATTAGAAATAAAATAAAAACTGAGAATAGAGAAAAACATTCTATAAAGATAACGAAATTAACTGATTTAATACTGAACTGAAAATTGCTGAAGTTTCGTAATAATTCAACTAATCAATATGGATATATGTACGTATAAATAATATAGATTATAATGTAAGTGGGAAGTCAAAATCAAAGTTATGTACTGCGCTCGATCTTCTCTGAAAAATCTATTTTTCATTGTTTGCCATTGCATTCGCATAGGTGTTGACGATTAGATCTTCATCTCCTTTCTCTCAATCGTCTGATCTCAAGTCTGTCATTTAAATACTTAGTCTATTCTCATATATCTATGGTCTGACTAGTGACGAACGTCTTCTACTTACCACTCGATCTACTATAGTAAAAATGTCATATAATCATTAAAAATATAAAAAAATCCCAGTTTCTGTTCACGTCACGACGTCTAATATGAAATTATAGAAAAAAGTAAATGAGTAGAAATTGTGGCGTGAACAGAAATTGGGACATTTACTACATTACAGAATACTTTGATGTATCAGTTAAACGTAGTGCGAGAGATTCTGACGGAAGTAGATCAAGTTCAATTTGAATGAATGAAGTAGACATTTGAATCGTTCTCTATGGGGCAAGGTGAAAGCGAGAAATCATGGATAGTTTATGTGATAGACTGTACCTGGTCATTCCAAGTTCCATGAATGGTTCCAAGAATGGCACGCCGAGGAACTCATGACCCACTGACAGAGAGGGCCGTAGTTTCCTCCCTTCCTTTCAAGCTTCCATCTATACTGAATTTTCGCCAAAAATAAGATGTTATCATCCAACTTGTTTACCCTTCCCTGGAAAGATCTGAAGGAATAAGAAATTGTGATTGATCAGTGTTAGCGTTCACTACTTGTCTGTGACCACTGACGTAGCGTTTGATTCTAATATAGGACGAATAATGATTTCTGACGTCGCGAATGCGGAACTAGGGACTAGCTTCGAGGAACTGTAGACAGCTAAATGTTTAATCGAAATCGATCATGCGAGGTGTCACTGGCTGCCGAATGAATTCCTCCGTTGAATATTTCGTGTACACACGTGAGTGGACGAAGGATAAAGAAGGGACCGTCGGTTACGAAACGATCCGGCGAGCCTAAATATAGAAGCGTTCGTTTCGCTTTCGTAATAGATAAAACGACGCCCTTTAGGGATAAAAACGTTCATAATGCTGGAATGCAGGGGCGAGAGACTAGTAGGGGTGCTTAATAATGCAATATGGCGTCGAGGCGTCGCGGCGCTATGCCGGCTATGCCGCATACCACCACCATATACGCCTACGCTTCGACCCCCTTATACCCTTCGTGGCTGCCCCCGAAGCACGAGGCGAGTTCGAATAGCGGTAGGGATGTACCGTGCAATCGAATGCTGATTGGAAAATATTGATGGTCCTCTCCATACGGGATCCCGTCGTCGTCGATGCTTCTTTTCCCAGCCTCGCCTCTCTCGAATTCCGGAAATTATATCGGGCACGAACTTTCGAGGGCGTCCCACTTATTCTCCCGAGGGTTCGATATTATTATTATTATTATTATTACTTCATTAACGAGCGGAAGCCCTTTAGAATGTAAAAAGGAAAACAAAAAACAAATGTAAAAAACTTAAGATTCTAACAATAGATGACGTGAATTAGAAATAAAATAAAAACTGAGAATAGAGAAAAACATTCTATAAAGATAACGAAATTAACTGATTTAATACTGAACTGAAAATTGCTGAAGTTTCGTAATAATTCAACTAATCAATATGGATATATGTACGTATAAATAATATAGATTATAATGTAAGTGGGAAGTCAAAATCAAAGTTATGTACTGCGCTCGATCTTCTCTGAAAAATCTATTTTTCATTGTTTGCCATTGCATTCGCATAGGTGTTGACGATTAGATCTTCATCTCCTTTCTCTCAATCGTCTGATCTCAAGTCTGTCATTTAAATACTTAGTCTATTCTCATATATCTATGGTCTGACTAGTGACGAACGTCTTCTACTTACCACTCGATCTACTATAGTAAAAATGTCATATAATCATTAAAAATATAAAAAAATCCCAGTTTCTGTTCACGTCACGACGTCTAATATGAAATTATAGAAAAAAGTAAATGAGTAGAAATTGTGGCGTGAACAGAAATTGGGACATTTACTACATTACAGAATACTTTGATGTATCAGTTAAACGTAGTGCGAGAGATTCTGACGGAAGTAGATCAAGTTCAATTTGAATGAATGAAGTAGACATTTGAATCGTTCTCTATGGGGCAAGGTGAAAGCGAGAAATCATGGATAGTTTATGTGATAGACTGTACCTGGTCATTCCAAGTTCCATGAATGGTTCCAAGAATGGCACGCCGAGGAACTCATGACCCACTGACAGAGAGGGCCGTAGTTTCCTCCCTTCCTTTCAAGCTTCCATCTATACTGAATTTTCGCCAAAAATACGAGAGATAGGAGTAAATCTGTCTATCCTATTACACGATGAAAGCGTACTCAGTAAAAGAAAATCCTGTAAAAAAAAAATTATACAAATAAGTAGCAGAAATATATGACTTGTTTTAAAGGACGCAAACTATACAAAAAATAATTTAAAACGTAGAAACGTATTCGCTAAAACATTTTATTTAATTATTGCAATACATAATGGTATACATTATTCAATCTTATTGAGAGATATCACATTTGATTACCTGATTGTCTTAAACTATTTCTTTGATACGATTTTACCAAAAATACGGATTTTCATATCCTTCTTCAAATGTTCAGAAATTAGAAAGAAAAATGATTCTTTTCCAGATGGGTAGATCAAAGGCGAAAAAAAGGAAATGGATGAAGAATTTGCAATCCGAACCCACGGATCACGGAATTCCGATACCGAATCTACCTGAGAAATTCCTTTTGATGCATGTAAGTTCCGAAACGGTAATTAAAAGATTCGCAACGCATTGCGTCATCTAATTTTAGCGTTGTAGGTGAAAAGTGGTACGAAAATCAGAAACGTTCTCGGATACGCGCTGAAAGAATTCTCAAAATACGACGGCGTCGTGTGGACCGCGATAGGCCATGGCATTGGGAAAGCTGTCTCCTGCGCTGAACTGTTCAAGAGGAAACAGGGAGCTCTACATCAGATCACCAAATTGCGTTACGTGGAGTAAGTTAGAAAATGCGAAAAATGGGAATCTGTTAATTAAGAAAATTCATGTGATTAAAGATCAGAGAAGTCAGAAAGGCAGAAGGAAAAAGACGCAAGTGAGACTTACCATGTACCGGAAATCCATATTTTACTCACGAAGGAAATAACGGACAAGTCGGAGCCTGGGTAAATATTCTTTATTTTAGTGTAAAAGTTCGTACACGATCTTTAGAGACGGGTCAAATCTCATCGGGTCAGATATTTGTTTTAGCATTATATTACAAACCTATTGAAAAATAGTACCCTCGTAAGTCTAATAGTGGTTTTTCAATATGAAGAAAGCAAAATTCATTTTCGCTATGTTATCGCGTATGATTGATATGAGTATCGAAAGGGCCTGAGTAGTAGAATTCTAACAAAACATTTCGATTATGCTTAATATTCTGTTATGTTCGCCTATAGTTATCAGGCACCGGGTGACAACGGGGAATTTCTAAATGACCAAGAAGCGAAAAATGAAGGAAGAGGCGGAAGACAAAAGGCTGGTAGCAATATGACCTCTATCGATACCGAGGAATTCATGGCTATGGGATTGAGGACAGGTCAAAAGAGACCAAAGAAAGAGCAGCAAACGGAAGCGCCAACGAAAAAAAATAAAAAAGAGCAGAAACGATGATCGATAATACACAGGACTGAAATTAAATTGTATTGTAAATAAAACATAATTTTAAATAAAGAATGTCTTTTATTTCTCACATTCATAAAAGATTCCAATTCTACAAGAAATATAATATGGATATTTGTGCCCGACTAATCGTTCAGGCCATTTGATGTTTTCAATGCAATAAATAAATATGCTTGCGTGTACCATTTATGGTTGCGTGTACCATTTATGGTGGAAGGTAAAGTTTAAGATTTACCATAAATGGTACACGTGGCACGTGAACGTGTTAAGTAGAAAGTTTATTCTTTCTTACATGCATAGTCATTACAGAAATAATTATACAATGATACCGCGTTTTTGTGAGCCGTGTTCATTAGCTTATTTACAAATTATACAGTATTACAATAGTTATGCATGCATTTTGCAGACTTGTAACAGATACTACGAGAATAACAGTGTCTTCTACGAAAATTCACAACACGATTTTTTGCTTAGTAAAAGATGTTCATAATAAACAGTTAGCGTATCAAATTTCCGCTATTGATCAAATTGGAAAGAGAACACTTCACGCTGACTGCTCCTTAGAATAACGTCTTATCCGTATCAAATTTGTATAAGCTTACAAAAATCTTTAAACTGATCGCATTCGATACGTTAACAGAACGAAGAACAATTGATTCAAAAGTATGTTTCATGTATATATATATAATTCTCTTTCTTATTGGAGCACATGTACTCGGCAGTAGTGTGGAGAATCTTGCGGCACTGATATTGCTTTCCTCGATAAGAAATCCAGAGAATACTTTCAACTTGGTCATTATTATAGGTATTAGTGATTAGAAGCTATCCAATGGAAAGAATAAATAAAAGACGTTATTAATAGCGTTTACTCGTACTCTCTAGTCTCATTTTGAAGGGTTTGAGTGCCATGACAAGTCCGCATTGGTTTTTTTTACTGTAGTGTGTTACGGATAATAAAAAATGCAATCTTTTTAATCGGGCTATATGATATTGGGAGTTATATTGATACCAGGAGGGAACGCTCAACATTATAAGTTCAATACCACATAAGATAAATATTACATAAATAAGAACACTACAGCATTTATTATTACTAATAATGTGTAAGTATAAATGTTTCTTAAATTTGGTTACTGCATGGTGATTGTGATTACGTCATGTTTATGACATCTTGCTACCTTTGTTTAATGAATTACTTGAGTAAAAAAAATTAATAACTTTTAACATTATATTTAAATTCAGTCAAATATATTATAATTTTAAATAGAAAAGTATCGATTAACTTAAATATTTTTTTATCCAAAACTTGGAATATTTTTTTCCTTGAATTTGGAATTTCCTGTTATATTATTATAGCGACTTGAGTTAAAGTCGAGTTATCAAAAGGGTTGAGAGATACATTGAAAATATAAACATATAAATTGTTTAAATTTAATGCATCGTTATACCTTTTAAATGATAAATATTTTGTTTAAACATGAAAATTTGCTTTGTACAATAAATCTCGGAATGAAAAACTTATACTAGCATCAGTTTTATTTTTAATCCGGTCAATAACAAGAAATTCTTGTAATATGCTCTTGAACAAATTACCAAAACATTTTCCGTATTCTTGTAGCAAGGACACCACAAGAATAATTTCAGCAGCGTGTCATTGGAATTACTAGTATTCTTATTAAATCTGAGAAACTGATTTCGGGCAATATAGATAAATGTTCAACTCCTAGGCTTCGCTTTCTGTTGTTCCATCTTCTTCCATAATTGGTACTATCAAATTCTCTTTTGACATTAAACTATATTTTATCACAAATGCTGTAAACCTACAAAACAAGAGAATTATGAAAACGTTTTATCAATTGTATTTGCAATTGTGTAATTAATCGTCTTACCTGTGGCATAAAAAAGTCTCGTTCTCAAATTCATCAAATATTGTTCTATGATGATAGTACGCATGAGAAAAAATTCTGTATACTCGTCGACTAACAGATCCAAGTTTAGCTACTGACGATTCTTTAATACTTACTCTGAAACAAGACATAAAAAATTAAAGATATAAAGACAATTGTATATACATTTCTCTTAGGGCGGATACAGGGATGTGAAGGAAGTATACAGGGATGTGAAGGAAGTAAAACAAGAAATAAGTGTGTATACAGTACAAAGAGCAAATTAAAGGTAAAGAGAAGATAGAGTGAGGAAATAAAATTGAAAGTATTTCTTCACAGTTTCATTGAAATACGTTAAGTTTTAGAGAAATATAAGATTGATTAGAAATTAAGAATAAAAGAATCATTAGTATGTGAAGGTATAGGATGATCAAATATATATATATTCAAGCCGTAACCCAAGTTCTATTCTTTGGCTGAGAATTATAATGAACACTACTATATCGTACATAAATTCTTTTGGTAATCCTTTTAAAAAATAGTTTACCATACCTGCTAGGAAAGTATTTGTTGCTATTAAGTAAACATGCTGCCCCATCAAGTGTGTGTCTCGTATAATCAATAGCTGGACATTCTTTCGGTGTTTTGTGAGCGGCACACAAAAATATCCATTGCTCAGTTGCTGTCATTTGAGTACAAGTATCTGGGTGACACTCTGCTTGCAGTCTTACTGTTAAACCATTCAGTTCCATACAAAACTGTCTTAAATGCTCGTACTTCCACACTGCCTCGTCTTGTGCCTCTGGCATCTTCAATATCAAGTCAACATTAGATGGATCTTTCCTAATCATCTGTTGTATGTATTGCTGCACAGCCAGTGTGCTGTCCATTTCCTCGAAAGGTTCATCAGGCCACCTACAGAAGTCCTAAACAAAAAACGACTCTCAAATAAATGCTTCCAGTTTTACAAAAAGATCAACAGTCGGAGTTATTTACACAACTCACTTACTACATAGGATTACGATCTTTATATCATTAAAACTTGACAAATGTCGCGTTGTCATTATCTGTCAAAATCGGTATAATTATTTCGTAAATGTAACGTGAAATATATTCGTATGAGCAAACTTCTAGCATGAGCCGGTTTATTAATGATCGTCTCAATGCGATGTAAAGAAAAAGAACATGAATTATTAGTGTGTAAACAATCGCTGGTAGGAGCGTTCATTGATTTTCGGGAGTTGTGTCAAATATGTGTTTCAGACATTTCCGTAAGTACGGCGTGCATAACCGAACCGTTGTTAAACGCTAGCGTGCAAGACACGGATACGACGTATCCTTAAGAAAATGAACATCCTTATTAACCTTTGCCGCAGTTCCGGGCCTGTTCCTTCTGATAATCGTAGGTCCGTCCGCCATCTTCATTTTTCCAGTTGTTGCGGTTGTTGCACTACCGGATTGGCATTCACGTTCGATTGGATCAAAATAAAAAGATCTCGGATATTGTAATGTCGGCGTAGAGAGTAGCGACACCATGTCATCATCACACGGTGGCACTTCAACTGTTTGAAATTAATAGTCGCACAGATATTAAGAATTTAACAGATGAATAACTGACATTCTATCTTATTGAAAATATTGATTAATAAGAATCAACAAATATTTTTATCTTATAGCATTTTAAATCTTTTATAGCTACTATATAGTATAAGTAGAGCTTCAAATCTGGCAATATTTCAAAACTTGTAAACTTTATGCATTTTTATTTAAATATATATAACACAAATAATTCATGGATCGATTTGAAAAAATTCTCACGTATATAGTAGTGCATTTTTGAATTTTTTCATCAGTTTCCATCTATTAGAATCGGAGATATTAATCAGTATAGTACACGTTTTCTTTACTACAGGTATTCTATTAGAAGATAAATAGCGGATAAGTTACTCCATCTAACGATTCACTTTATTAATATAACAATTTATATTATATACAGAAGCAATAAAATTCGATTTCTTTCCTTATATAGTGTGTTAAAAATAAAAAAAAAAAACTTGACTAATGAGATGGTCTGTGTTGCATGAATATTTATTCATAAATATCTTCTTTGTCTGCGACATAGCGTATTATATCCGCAGGTCGTAAAAGTTTTTCTGCATCCATGTCTGGTATTTCAAAACCGAATTCATCTTCTATTGCCATGATAACTTCTATGTGATCCAAAGAATCCAAGCCAAGGTCTTCCATAAAATGGGATTCCAGTTTTAACTGCACAAGACATTAACGTTCAAATACACCAGAGTTTAAATGCAAGGAAAAATTAAATGCATATAAAAAGTCTACTACAAAGACACCACGATTCAAGCGAGGTGTTATCACTCTCTTCTGAGAAGCTATCTATCAAAGTACCTCAACAAAATAGAAAATGCTATATACTAATAGACATTGATTCAATGTAAAATGTTATAAGAGCATATAAAAAGAATTCAATGAGCTGCTAGTAGTTTCCATGTGTAAAACACCTTCACAAGTATCTTTAGCATTATATCATCTTGTGAATAGATACCTTCTGAGGATCAATTTTATCATAGAGATTGAGTACTAAAAGTACACGCTGGCGAATAAGGTCAAGCGTTAAAGGTGGTACTAGAGCGTACCGGCGCACCTGCTTGACTCGTGGGCCCTGTAAAATAAGTCGCTAGAAAATATATAAAATCTTACAACCTTGTCAGCAGTTATTTTATCATAGGCTTTGATCACTTTCAAAACGCGTCCCTCAATTTCTTCAACTTTAGGTTTCGTGCTGTATGTACGTAAATTTGGTATATTTACCTACATTTACAATATTAATTAGATATCACTTATATGCTACGAAGTATATATATACTTGATGTAATAAAAATATGTAATTCAATCCTAATTGACACACGTGCTATCGATTTTTATTCTAATTACATGTATATTATTGAATATCAAATGAAATATGAACGTTGGTGTTGTAACAGTGGACTTTATCTTTAATATTCAATTCAATTATAACATGACATGCTGAACTATCGAACTTCATCGCATCTTATATTTTAATTAGATTTACGCTGTTTATTTTACCAAATCACGAATGATTTCTGTTACATAATACGTAATTTAAAGATATATGGACTGTCGAGAAAGCTCGCTGAGACTATGAGGAGAGCACTGTTTACCTGTGGCACAAGATTGACGGTACTTTGCCTGTTACAGTGAAGGAATCGTTCATTTGATTGAAGTTGTGTAATGGCACCTCGTAAACACGTTCGATTGATCGAATTTCTAATGGTACCGGTGTTTCTCATTAAAAGACGAACTCCCGCGAGAGACGCCATTTTCTCTGCAATGAAAAGTCTAGCGAGAAGAGTTAACCTAACTTGAACACCGCCTTGTCCGTATTGAAATTATCTTTTACACACACATAGACAGAAACACGGTTTAGTAGGCAATTCTAGACTCTAGACATCCTACATATAACTCGGAAAATGTTACGTGAATGAAACCACAAATTTAACGTGGCGACTTACAAGGGGAGCTCTTGCGCACGTGCAGATCGTGGTAGTACACTAAAATGAAGCGACATCTAATCCACAACAATAATTGTATATGTATTGGTTATAAAATATCAGCGATTATATTTTTTATTAAATACCGTTGCTGTTCGCGCGTTATCATTTATAGCTATAAATAAAGTGGTATCGTGAAAAACGATTTTCCGGTCAATAGAATCATTTACATATAAATCTGGGTAATAATTGATGTAAATTATCGTTAATACACGCTTAAAACAATAGACGGGTTAATGTTAAAGATAAAGTGAATGTAAGGCAGATTTACAGCTTTAGTAACATTTTGTATTAGAAGCATGGCGAAATTGTTAAAATCGACGCAGCTGACATCCAGAGATTCGTAGCGGAATCAGCGGAATTTGTGACCGTGTTTATCTTTGGCAAGTATTTTTTTTCTACTCGGCAGACAACGAATTTTGCAAGTGTCGTGGAATAAAGCGTGTTTGAATTCGTATCGTTAGTGCCATATGTGCTGGGACAACAGTGATCAATATGTGGGTGAAGCCACAAGAGGTTCTACTAGCAAACGCTTTCTGGTAAATTAAATACGTGTACACGATGTTTAATGTCCTGTTACAATTACTGTTTACATAGTGTCAAACACAGCTGACAGAACAACATTTAGCAAGTCCAACGAATTTCGATGTACAATATTGTAACAATTTATATGAACTTTCTCCAGCAGAATTTCGTTACAACTGATTCTTGATTTATTTGTTTACATTTCACAAATATGTCGAATGGAAAATGTATCTGTCCTCTTCCAACTTATATTTTCAAATACTTTCAATACAGTCAATCATTAATTTCTCTCTTTTGTTAATATGCAGTATAGAGATATAAATTCTGTTATATTGTACATAGAAAGTTCGATTTAGGATCGATAACAAACATTCGCGTTATGGGAATCATTGTGCCAATTATCTTAGAGATTGATTCATTTTTCTTCAATGACATTTATCACATATATAAATACGATAAATATAAAAACATGAAATACTATAAAACTGTATTTAAACCGTAATAATATAATAAGAGTGCTGGAATAAAAATTATGGACTTCATTTCTAAAAATAATTTTTCCTATCACCTTTTTATGAGCCCTTATCAATTATCATGCGACAAAGACTAGCATAATTGACTTTCAAGTTATTACGTTATATCACTTTTACATCATATGTATATAGTGATTAAAGTTTCATTATACTTTATATTAAATAAATCTTGTATCTTATTCCAAAAAAAAAGAATGGTGTTATTTAATTATCTTCATTACACATAGGGTAACAGAACAAGCAACTGTATATTTTGTTTTACAACGCCGTAAAGGACATGGAAAGACGAAAGGTCTCACTTCAATATTGGTGGGAACACTGGACAGTGTTTTCGACACTAAACCTGCACCGTTTAGAATATTACATCAAACACCATCATCAGAAGTTTATTGGGGTAATACACTCTGATATAAAGAATGTTAATGAAATTATTTTTATGAATATAGAATTAAAAACAAAATAAATTATGAAATTTTCATTTTAGAAATTGCATGTTCCTTGACACATGAAGAGATTCTACAAAATTGGGAATGGCTTCATTCAAATTTAATGGACACTTTAACATCATTTGATACAGAAGAAGAAATAACTGAATTTGTTTGCTGTAAAATACAGTCGATTATCGCGAATAGTGTGTCAGACTGTCAATTTGCAGATGGTAAATTATATTGCTCTTAGAAGAATAATAACTCCTTCGTGCGATTATTAACTTTTAATATGACCCATAGAAGAAGATCCGGAATCATTTAAAACTGTATCCTTTAAATTTCACCAACTTTTCAACATCGCTAAGGAAGACAAATTGGTCAATTACTATTCCTGCAGGTAATTGCATAATTAACTTAAATGTATTCGTATTTATTAAGATGTCTACAATTTTTTTACTGTATTTTAGCTATTGGAAATCTCGCTTACCTAGACAAGGATGGTTATATTTATCAATAAATCACATGTGTTTTTATGCCTATATTCTGGCAAGGGAAACAAAATTAACTATAAGATGGGCCGATATTACTGAATTAAGTAGAACTAATTCCCTCCTATTTCCAGATAGTATACGGGTTGTAACAAGAGACAATAAAGAGGTGACTATACATAATGTTCATATTGTAGGATTGCAATTTAAGCACATGTTTATTTTATTTTCAGCATTATTTTTCAATGTTTCTTCACAAATATGAGACATACTCGTTAATGGAGCAATTAACAAATATCGCTATGAAAAGGTAACATTTGTACCTTACAATAAGTAAAAATATAAATTAATTTTCATTTTGATTACTTCAGACTCATAGACGAAAAAAGTGGTTTCAACGAGGATAGAGAACTATTGAGTAAGCTAAGGTATTCGATCATTCTTTTAAATTTGTGTACGAAAATGTGTAGGTATGGATTATGCTAATATTCATATTTCTAGCAAAAATGTACCTAAGAAGCCATCATTTTTAAAACGAGATCTCGACGCGAGGGCACATTCTGAGGCATACAGGTTGCAGTTCAGATTACCAGGAAACGAAAAATTGGATGGGAGTATTGATGCAACGTTGTGGACTCCATACAATAAAAGATATGTTTGGGGAAAGATATTCCTCTCCCAGAATTACCTTTGTTTCGAAAGCAGGGTAAATACCTTGATAAACGTAAATATGCATGCAGAGTAATTCCTGTTTAACAGTATTATTTATGATTAAGTGCTATGATTTAATTTAGGTAAAAGGATTAGTAAGTTTAGTTATACCTTTGAGGGAAGTAAGGATTACTGAACCTGCTGAAAATCAAGTAGATAAATCCATTTTAGTGACGACTGCTCGATCTTCGTTCTTGTTCGCTCAGATTCATGATCGAGACTTTGTCGTGCAAAAAATATCGGAATTATTAGCAAAGTCTAAATTATCAAATTTGTAAGTTGATATCATTTACGATGATATGATATAGAAATATATAGATTATAATTAAATTATTTTGGAACAGGTGCATAGATCATCTATTTGCATATAATAATACACAAAGTGAAAGCAATTGCGAAGAGAGTAAATCTGGTAATCAATGGAAACCCCAACCACCATTAATGACTCTGTTTAAAGCGCCGTTAACTAGTGAAGCAGCGTTGAAGCAAGAAGCTAAAGAAAAACAATGGGAACTTCATTTTGCAGAATATGGTAGAGGTATCACAATGTACAGGACAACGGAAACAGTTAAACTTATAATTCAGGGTTTGCCTCAGACTCTCAGAGGAGAAGTCTGGCTTACTTTCTCTGGTAATATGACATTAATGTAATATCATTACACAAGGGTTGCAGATTTCTTAATTTCCGCATTAAATTAAAATTCAATATTTAATTCGAGTTCCATCTAATTAAGAATTAACGATTGCACTTTAATCCTGGATTAGTCAAACTTGAATTAAAAATTAAAAAGTAATTGTTAATTGTCATTCAATTGAATCATGTATTTAATAGAGTTTTTGCAACCCTGCGTTACACTTCGTAAAATTACTTCGACTTATTTTTATTTCATCAGGTGCTTTAAATGAAATGGTAATGAATCCGGGCCTGTATAAATCACTGGTTGACCAATCGTTAGGTAAATCCTGTCAGGCGAACGAAGAGATAGAACGAGATTTGCATCGATCATTGCCTGAACATCCAGCATTTCAGTCTGAAACTGGTATCAGTGCATTGAGAAGAGTTCTCTCTGCGTATGCTTGGAAAAATCCGCAAATCGGTAAAAAGATTCGTTAACAAGAAATAATCGTATTAGAAATTGAACAATGTTTTTACAACAAATATTTTGGGGCAGGTTATTGCCAGGCAATGAATATAGTTGCTTCGGTCCTTCTGATTTATTGCTCAGAGGAATCTGCTTTCTGGCAACTGTGCAATGTGTGCGAATCATTGTTACCCGATTATTACGACAGAAGGGTAGTTGGTGCTCTCGTTGATCAAGGTCTCTTGGAAGAGCTGGCTGCCGCACATTTACCTGCTTTACACGCTAGATTACAAGAACTTGGTCTAATTAAAGTTATATCCCTCTCGTGGTTTTTAACAATATTTTTAAGCGTCATGCCGACTAGCAGCGCAGTAAATATAATGGATTGTTTTTTCTATGACGGAGCGAAAGTAATCTTCCAGGTACAACATATTTCACGCGCATACGTTTCATCTTTCTCAGTTTGTCACATACTTTTTTTGCTAGTGGGAATGTTGAACTTTATTGATATGTTTTCTAATGAATACAGAATAAAGTACATACAGAAGAAATTTGAAGTAAACAGGTCTTTCTCCCTGTGCCAGATAGCATTGACAGTACTGGAATGGAATCAAGATAAATTATTAAATTGCCGGGACGATGGTGAAGCAATGCAGCTGTTGACCGATTATCTTGGTGGGGTGTACAATGATGAAGGACCTATACTGCCTAGACCAGTTGATAGTGCCACGCCTAACAGAGTAAGGATATTTAATGTGCTATTTATAAGACCGTATCTCGGCTGATCTCAAAAACGACTGAAGTGTTTATAATGAAATTTGAACTGCAGCTTTCTTATACGAGCGTAATAGGATATGTTTATTTATGAATTACTTTACGAATTACGGTCACGTTGAATTATCCATCAGATGCAATTATATTGCATAACTACTCCGAGATACGATTTTATGAATAGGAGGCGTCGATATCTTCAATTACGCTTATGTCTTCCTTATTTTTCAGAGTATATCTGTCCAGACGTTGATATACGAAGCGTACTCGAGATACGGTTTGTTGACTATTGGCGGTATAGAAAGACTTCGTTTGAAACACAGACTCAGAGTAGTTCAAAGCTTGGAGGATGGAATTGAGAAGAACGTAATTAGAAGCGTCATTGTTGATAAATATATGACAATGGAAGAATTGCAGGTATTTCAAATATATATTATTCAAAAAAATTATGACCTCACTAAATACGAATATGACATACGAACGTACGATAATTTGTTGCGGTATAATCATCTTTCAATCTCGGCCAATTTTCGATACACATTTTGCAATATCATAATTTTTTTGAATAGTGTATTTATAAATATAGAATCATAGAAAATTGGGAATATTAATAACAACATTTATCTGTATCTAGGACCTGTTGAGTTTAGTGAGGGAGGAGTTGATGAGTCAACGAAAATCCGAACCTGATCGTTACGATCCCACGCAGCCACCTTACGAGGCATATAAAGTCGATTTTGAATTGTTTAGAATATTGTTCGGTGGCTTATCTCCGTGGGGAAAATGTAGCCAAGCTGAATCGCTTGCTGCCCGGCTGTTCCGTGTAAGTGAATCAAATTTTGAAAAATTCTCTATCTTGTCGCTTGTAACGAAGAAAAACGTATGATAAGGAAATGTTAGAGAATTAACATCCGTGTATATCTTAGTTTTATTGAATAAGATCAAGCAAATACAGAAAATGTTCATAAGTACTGTTGTACTATCAGTTGATGGATCGTAATCGTGATGGTCTACTCAACTTTCGAGAATTAGTACAAGCGATCGGAATGACTGCGACCGGTGACCTAACGCAAAGGTTGAAACTTTTATACACTCTCCACTTACCACCCCTGCTTACGCCCGTCGATTTCGAATCGCCCACGCATTCTGGTAAATATTATTTGTTCCAAGTGACCAAGTAAACGTTTCTACGTATTTTATTGTTGTGTCGATGATGTTATATCTACCCTATTAATATCAGATGGTGCTGAAGTAGCAGCAGAGGCTACAGATTTTTTTGACAGTATGGAACAGAGCGTTGCCTCGTTAGAATTGCCTGTTAGTCTAGCAGAAGAACCGAGCGTCGGAACTTTGTCGCGTTCGACGAGCTTGACCAGCCAACAGGGCGAACAATCGTGGGAGGTGCAAAGCATGGGTAGTCTACGTTCCATGATAGCGTCCAAGGACAGTCCGCTGGATCTTAAAACAGTGCCAAAAATGTCCCAGAGGCATTTCATAGCATTGTGGAAAACACTTTACGATATGTTCCCCGCACAACCGGAAGAACAAGAGACTTATCATTGCATAGCATCGATAGGTATAAATTATATAATGCCCTCATTAATATATTGTATTTGAAAACAGTTCGAAATACAAACAAATAAAATTTTTGTACTCGTAGGTACCCTTTTACTTCAGTTAGGAGACGTAGGTAAAAAGTTTTACGTTGATCGAGAAGAATCAGAAGACAGTCTACTTCTAGCGGCCACTGCTTCTCAGCAACAAACATCTGCGAATATGGAACGAGTACGTATTATTCAAATTGACCAGGGATGGGGAACTCTTTTTATATCAAAGTAGAGGCCACATCGATCTTTCGAACCACTTGAATGTTACATGAATTTAATATTATTGCTCTAGTCACATGACCGTAATGGAAATCCGTCGAACAGTGGTGCATCCAATGGTCCAGATTGGTCAATAAGCGTCGAACAGTTCCTGGCGTCTGCCTTAACTGGTCAAGCTATAGTAGACTTTTTTAGTAAACGAGCCGATCTTTCTGAAGCGATTGCAACTTTGAAAAATCGTAGATTCAATCGCGTTCATTCCCTGTCAGATACGCCCGTGCTAAATGTTTGATACACAGAATTAACTGTGTAGAGGAATGCTGTAAGATATACATATGAAATTTATAAAGTGATAGATTGCCTTGAATGATTGACCAGACATTTTATTTCATAAGGAAATTTCTATATAGATTGCAGTTAAACAAATAATAAATCTTCGTTTGAAAAGACAATTTCATAGCATAAAAGACATTTTCGTCACAAAATAATTTCTAAATATAATTAAAATATGTTTCAATATAGTAATGAAACAATTTTTCAATTTCACTCAATATTGATACATCTTTCGTTTGTTTAGTGACAATATTAAATTATTTTAATTTAGCTACTTAAGTTTATAATTTTTTTCAGTAAATATATACTCGATAATGAGTGCTAGTTTAACATATAGATGAAATTTTATCGTATGATTAAGTTTAATTCTTTTAAAAATGTCATTAATCATTCGATTAGTTTATTGTAGTAATCATGTACTGATAGGAAACGAAAAAAAAGCATCAATAGAATATGCTCAGGGTATTTTAAAGGCAGTTTCATCACTTTTTAACAATATTCATGCATAAAGCTCGAGTTCCCGGTAAATGACAACTAATATATGAATATATATATGACGAACATATTTTTTAGAACTATGTTGTATTATTGAATATGTATGTACGAGTTTCTGTATTTTCTTAATTGTAATATCATGACGTATGCACAAAAATTAAATATTTCTATGCGGATAGAAATATCCTTTAGCCTCGTAATCTAACAGGTTTGAAAAATGATAAATCATGTTTTTAAAATAATATCGTATCAAAACCGTATTTACTCGCGTCCTCGAGAAATACGAAAAGATTGTTCATAATATATAATTTAACAGTAGCCATGGATTATTTTTATCATCCAAGGTTTTGCATAATACGAGACTTTAAAATCAAATATTGTATTTTAACAGATTTGTGAATGTTTTCATTGAACGCGGTTGAATATTTGGAAATCATGTGACTTTTTAACAGGTACAACTATATTTTTTAAAATGACTTTTATTTTTATAGTCAATGCATAATTTTTGAAACGTAATTAGGAAAAGAAAAATGGCTATAGCGAGAGAGGCGCGAATTCAACATTTATCTTCCTGTATCATATATGTATTATATATAATGATTCATTATTTCGTATTTGAAACTACATATGTACAAAACATATAATAAATGGTACACGAAGTCCATTCGATCCCAT